TATATACATACTATTATCGACACCCTTGAGCCCTTCAGTTCTCACTTACAATACAGTTTTGATGCTTTAACTACCCCTGTGATCTTTTCTTCTACTTTGAGGCAGTTTTGATTAATAGCCTCAACATTCAATTCCTGCTTTACAGTCTGGATATTTGAAGCACCAATTAAGCCAATAGATGAAATGAACAAGTATTACTCAGAACATCCACCAGTTGTATCTACAAGTCACTCCTGATGAGTTTGTGCTCTGAATTTCCTTTTTTTTTCTTAATAATTCAAAGTTTCCTAATCACTTTTCAAAAACAGGTAGATGAAAACAACTTGTTACTTTGATGTTTACTGAGCTTTTAACATCCAGCTGTAACTTCAAATCTCTAAATATTTTACATTCAAAGTCACAATCAAAAGCATAGCATTTTGACTGCACGAAGACCTCAGTGCCTACATTTACATTCATTACTTCCAAAGATTTTACTGCACTAACACAACTGACTGATTAGCCCTCAAGATCCTGTTGTCAAGACAGCAACAAGGGAGTGAAGTGAAAAGGGGGAAGGAGCAATAACACAGAGACTTGGAACAACTGAACTCTTACCCTTTCCATTAAAAAGTTAATGTTACATATTGCCTGAGGCATGGCCTTTTGTCTATCTATTCCCACCTGTAAGACTGCAAGACTAATTTGGATAAATTTCCAAGTCACTTAAAGATGTAGGTTCCTGAATCCATGAACCTTGACTAGAAGCCAGACATCAGCTTCCCACTGGAAGATCTTTCTCAGCAGGGATAAAGTCATCAGCTGGCAGGTGTTAAACACAGCTGAAAAGTGGTCACACACACTTCTAGGAATCATCACTGACATAACCTTTCTGAGCAACTCTTTCTACTTGGTGATATATACAGCTGAGCATGACACTGTCTAACTCATTAGACATGATCTATGTTTGGGTGCTGAAAAATCTTACCAGCTCCCACAAAGGAGCACACAACTGTTTTTGCAAAAGAGGTAGTAAGCAGACACACAAAAAAAGCCCTTACTGAACTACAAAATGAAATGGCTAATATATTTTTGCAGCTGACTTTTAAAAAGAAAATTCTAGCAACATAAAAGTCTCATTGAAGCTTCCAAAATAATGGCTTGCAATCAAGGGAGGGAAGAAACCCATCAGCTGCATCACATGAACTTGGTGTTTTCCACTGCATCATAAAAGAGAGCCCAGCAGACCTTTACTGAAAGGTGCATTTATCTGTCAGAGTTTACATACTACCTACCCTGGCTGTTAGTCAGAAGGGGTAACATCATTAGACTGGCACCTACATGAGCCTATAGTCAGCACTGACCTTCCAAGTAGAGAACTTTATGTTTGCATTTTCTGCCTTTTTTTTTTATATTCCAGTATCATGACCTATAACATGCTGTCCATAAACAGTCAAACTATGGCTCACAAGCTGAGGAATCAGGGCCAAAAAGGCTGCAAAGCTGTAAAATAATTACATGATAACCTGTTAGATTTGTGATATAACTGGCCCAAATGC